CATCAAAGGAACAATGGCTTCCCCTCCCTGGTCAGGTAGCTCAGTTGGTTAGAGTGTCATCCTGATATGCCATGGTTGTGGGTTCAATTTCCGGTCAGGACACATACAAGAATCAACCAATTAATGCATAATTAAGTGGAACAACAAATCTATGTTTCTCTTCCCTCCCCCCCATCAATAAATTAAAAATAAAAAGGAGCAATGGCCTCTGCCAGCACTTCTGTCTGCAAGTTGTCCCCCACTCTCATCCTGATGTCACACGCTTCAATTCCTCCCCATATGTCCCCTGGTGCCTTTTTTTTCGTTGTTGTTAATCCTCACCCTAGGATATTTTCCTATTGATTTTTTTAAAGAGAGAGTGAAAGAGAGGGAGAGAGACGATGTGAGAGAGATACATCAATTGGTTGTCCCCTGAATAACCATGACTGAGGATCAAACCTACAACCCAGGTACATGCCCTTGACCAGAATCAAACCCAACACCCTTTGGTCCTTGGGCAGATGCTCTAACTGCTGAGCCATACTGGCCAGGGCCCTGGTGCCTTGTGAGCTGCCGCCCCAGCACTAGAGCTCAGAGGAAGTGAGTCTGAGTAACTCTGTGCACAGGCCCTTTAAGGGAAACTGCCTGGGACTCCAGCAGCCCTCCATCACTGAGCCACAATCCCCACTGGTTTTTTTTAGCTAGAAGTTATGGGAACTTCTCTTCCTGGCTCTGGAACCCTGGGCTGGGAGGCCTGGTGTGGGGCTGGGACTTTACCTTCTCAGGGAGAACTTCTGCAGCCAAGATATCGTTCTGATTTTTATCTACCACTTGTGGGTGTGGGATCTGCCCATTCTGGGTCTCAGTCCTTTCTACCAGTCTTGATGTGGCTTCTTAATTCCATAGTTGTAGGACTTCCATTCAGTCAGATTCCAGGCGGTTCTGAATGATGGTTGTTCCGTAGTTTAGTTGTAATTTTGATGTGATTGTGGGAGGAGGCGAGCACCATGTTTATGTACGCTGCCATCTTGACCAAAAGTCCTACAGCTATTTTAAAAAAACCTCTTTAAGCCACAGCAGTCTGATATCCACATGCCCCCCATCTCTGCTGGGGCCTTTTTCAAGCTCAAGTTTGTGTTGCTAAATTCTTTTTTTTTTTTTAATACTCATCTGAGGACATTTTTCCATTTTTTGTTCAGATAGAGTGGGAGGGAGAAAAAGGAAGAGAGAGAGAGAGAGAGAGAGAGAGAGAGAGAGAGAGAGAGAGAAATAGCGATGTGAAAGGGACACATCTAGTGGCTGCCTCCCTCACGACCCCAGGGACAAACTGCTACCAGGGTACATGCCCTTAGCAGGAACCGAACCCGGGTCTCTCTGGACCGCAGGCCGATGCTCTAACCGCTGAGCCAAACCGGCCAGGGCTGTGTTGCTAAATTCAATGGACTTGGTTCTGTTTTTATTTTAGCCTCTCAGCAGTATTTTATGTTGCTGATGTCTGACTTCTTGGAAGCAGTTAGTTTTTTTATTCTTGCTTACCAGCTGTCTCTCTGTCTTGGTTTGCATTCTTTCAGAAGCAGACACGGAGACAAGGGTTCTAGTACAAGGAGGGTGGTGCAGGGACACTGGCAGAGGGGCAAGGGAGGAAAGGCAGCCAATTAGGGGTGCAGGACCCCTCCTCCCCATTTTATTGAGGTATAATTGACACATAAAAATTGCATAGCCCTGGCTGGTGTGGCTCAGTTGGTTGAGCATTGTCCCTTGCACAGAAAAGTTGCTGGTTCGATTCCTGGTCAGGGCACATGCCTGAGTTCTGAGTTTGATCATCAGTTGGGGCACATGCAGGAGGCAGCCAATTGATGTTTCACTTTTATGTTGATATTTCTCTCTCTCTCCCTCTATTTTTCTTTCTCTCCAAGAAAAAAATTGCATGTACTTACAGTGTACAATGTGATGATTTGATACATGTATATACTGTGAAATGATTCCCACATCAAGCTAATTAACATGGCTATCATCTCACATAATCATTTTTTTCCTGTGATGAAGAATACTTAAGATCTTTTGCCCTGGCCAGTTTTCTCAGTGGTTAGAGCATCGGCCCACAGACCAGAGAGTCCTGGGTTCAGTTCCCACTAAGGGCACGTACCTCGGTTGCAGTTTGTCCCCAGCCCCGGCTGGGGTTGTGTGGGTGGCGACCAGTCGATGTGTCTCTCTCATATCGATGTTTCTCTCTTTCTCTTCCCCCTTCTCTCCCTCTCGCTCTATCTGAAGATAAATGTAAAAATGTCCTCGGATGAGGATAAAAAAAAAAAGATCTACTCTTAGCATGTTTCAAGTATACAATATAATATTACTAACTATAGCCACCACGCTGTGCATTAAATCTCCAGAACTTACTCAGCCTGTATAACGTTGTACAAAGGGTGCATTACTGAGCCAGTTACCTCAGGGAGTGGCTGGACTTAGTCCAGAAGGGAAGCTCTGGGAAATGATGAAACACACGCACCTCAGCATTATCCCACCTAAGGTGCAAGGGAGCTGGGGCATGTGTATAGCAACTTGTGAAAGTAGTTGATAGGGAGCAGAGTAGCACTTTCAGCTTAATGGATTATGGTGGGGGGTTGACCTGCAGGGTCTGAAGGTGTTAGGATCTGAGGGATTTGAAGGCAGGGTGCTGACAGTGTCTGCTGTACTCTCCAAATAGAGTGTAAGGTCTAAGGGCAGGGACTTTGCGTATTTTGCTTATTTCTAGATCCCCAATGCCCGGCACATAATAGTTGTTCAATATGTAGTATGTTAATGAACAAATGAGTGAGGAATTCATGCATTCGTTGTAAGGGTTCAGAAAAAGGCCAAGCAGATTACAGCAGTAGATACCGCAGAAGTGAGACCCTCTCGGGCCCAGGCGAAGGATCAAGGAGAACCTTTATAGTAATGAAGAGGAACTTGAGAACAACTCAGTTTAGCATAATCATGGAATTCAAATGAAATGACATGAAATCACTGGGTCCTCAGTAGTGCCACTGAGCTGCTGAATAGCCCTCTGGAGTCCCCCTCTGCTTCTGTTCTGTGATATGATACATTGGCTATTGTTTGAGTTGGGATCTCCATTATTTGTAGCCCAAAGCACCCCAATAGATATAATCTCTGTTGTAAAAACTTGGTATATAATGACATAACTTTTGTGTGCCTCAGTTTATTCATCTACAGAATGAAAATGATATCTTCTTCATAGGATTTCTATGAAGATTTAGACGAGTTAACACATGCAAAGCACTTTATATTGGCACAGAGTAAACGCTCACACAATGACAGTTGTATTAGTGTTTTATTATTATTATTATTTTATGATATAACATGTTATACAATGTGTTAACTATTTCTTCTATGTTATAAATGTTAAATAAAAAATTTTTTTCATTGATTTTTTTAGAGAGGAAGGGACAGAGAGATAGAAACATTGATGTAAAAGAGATACATTGACTGGTGGCCTTCTGCACGCCCCCCGTTGGGGATTAAGCCTGAAACCCTGGCATGTGCCCCGACTGGGAATTGAACCAAGACCTCTCAGTCCATGGGACGAAGCTCAGTTCACTGAGCCACACCGGCCGGGCTTAAAATGTTTAATTTTAAAAATTAAGTATTTTTTCCCCGGGCCGGTTTTGCTCAGTGGTTAGAGCGTTGGCCTGCAGACTAGCGAGTTCCGGGTTCGGTTTCTGCTAAGGGCACGTACCTTGGTTGCAGTTTGTCCCCGACCCGTTGGGGTCGTGTGGGTGGCAACCACTCGATGTCTCTCTCACATTGATGTTTCTCTCTCACTCTTCCTTCCTCTCTCCCTCCTGCTCTATTTGAAGATAAATGCAAAAATGTCCTTGGGTGAGGATAAAAAAAAAATTAAGCATTTTCAGTTGTATTTTTGATATTTTCTTTTCTTTTTTTTTGCTTTAATGTATCATGATCAGAAAATATGGCATATATCATTTCTAAACCTTTTGGGGCATAAAATTAAAATTGTTTTTGTAAAATGTGCTTTAATTCTTTAAAAAAACTGACATTCTATTTCTAAAAGTTAATCTTCAACATATATCTATTAATGCTACTTTGTTAGTTGTGCTGTTCAGATCAATCACTTAATTCCCACATCTATAACTAAGTCAGAATTTGACCTCAATTTTTACTGAGGAAAAGAATGGAGAAATAAAATGGGGTCTCTGTAATTAAGCTGCGAAATTACTAAAATCAAATAGGCTGAGGCATGAGGAAATGATACTGTTCTTGTGCTAACTGGTCTAGCAACTTACACTCTTGAACTTTCCACTTCTGTGTCATGGCCTCGCCACACAGCAGCTCACTATGTGTAACACCCAGACATGCACCAGACCTCCAGATAACCTTCTGATTATCGCCCGAAGGACTCACCAATTCAGGCCACCTGACATCCACCTGATACATCCATTATCCGGACAGCCTGACATCTGACTGATAACCATTCTGGACCAACTCTAGGGCTAAGAATGCAGGACTGATTATTCTTAGAAATGCACTTTTTTTTTTTTTTTTACATTGTACTAGGACAGAATGGACCATCTCAGTAGCTTCTGAGGCTAATAACATTTCTTTTTTTTTTAAATCCTCACCCGAGGATATTTTTCCATTTATTTTCAGATAGAGTGGGAGGGAGGGAGAGAGAGAGAAACATCAAAGAGAGACACATTGACCCAGCTGGTGCGGCTCAGTGGTTGAGCGTCGACCCATGCACCAAGAGGTCACTGGTTTGATTCCCAGTCAAGGTACATGCCCAGGTTGTGGGCCAAATCCTCAGTGGAGGGCATGCAGGAGGTGGCCAGTCGATGTTCTCTCTCATCAGCGTTTCTATCTCTCCCTCCCTCTCCCTTCCTCTCTCTCTAAAATCAATAAAATAAAAAAAATAAAGAAAAAATAATTAAAAAAAAAAGAGACACATTGACCAGTTGCCTCCTGCATGATCCTGACCAGGGCCAGGGACGAACTGCAACCGAGGTACGTGCCCTTGACCGGAATTGAATCCACAGCTCATCAGTCTGTGGGCTGATGCTCTGTCACCACAATTACATTAGCAAACCTAGTTCCCCTCACTTCTGCAACATCATGCAGAGTTAGTGATCGAGTTTGCACAAGAATGCACTTTTTATTATAAGAACTCTTATCTTTTCTTTCTTTTTGGGAACACTTTTTGTTTCCTAACCATGTTCCCAGTTTGCAAACTCTCAGAACTTTGAATAAATCTTTATCATTTACTTCTAGCAAAGCCTTTGTTTTAAATCCTCACCCAAGGACATTTTTCCATTTTTTATTCAGATAGAGAGGGAGAGAGAGGAAGCGAGAGAGAGAGAAACATCGATGTGAAAGGGACACATCGAGTGGTTGCCACCTGCACGACCCAACCAGGGCCAGGGACAAACTGCAACCGAGGTGCTGCCTTTGAGCAGAATCGAACCCAAGACTCATTGGTCCATGGGCCGACACTCCAACCACTGAGTTAAACTGGCCAAGGCTGGTGGGCCTCTTTTAAAACCACATTTCCTCTTGCTCTTTCTGTGAGCAGGAAGTGTCTAAAACCAGATTGTTCCTTCCCCCTTTATAGGTGCTGTCAAGATCCAGCCTCACCCCTCCCCCACATGGCCCTGAAACAGCCTTTGCCACATTATTGCTCCAGTTCTCTGTTGCAATGGTTTTTACACTTTTCTACATGCAGATGAATTTTTTTAGAGCAAAAATGGAACACCCACTACTGCTTACCATTACTGCTTACCTAGGTTTTGTCGACATTTTAATGACCGGGGAAAGGAGATTTCAAAGTGAACTCAAGAGCTAGGAGCTAGACCAGTCCTGCAACAAGATCTTTGATTCTTCTCTTCACTAGTTTCTTCTTTTTTACCCTTTCTTTTCTCCTCAGGCCAGTATAAGGCATTCTTTGTCTTGCCCAGAGTTGAAGATTTATTTATTTATGTATGCAATCAACATTTGCTAAGCCCCTTTTATTATTTTTATTTTATCATTATTTTTTTATCCTCACCCGAGGACATTTTTGCATTTATCTTTAGATAGAGCGCGAGGGAGGGAAGGAGGAAGAGAGAGAGAAACATCAATGTGAGAAAGACACATGGACTAGTTGCCACCCACACCACCCCAACCGGGGCCAGGGGCAAACCGCAACCGAGGTACGTGCCCCTAGCAGGAACTGAACCTGGGACTCTCTGATCCACGGCCAATGCTCCAACTGCTGAGCCAAACCGTCCAGGGCGGCTAAGCTCCTTTTAATGTGGCATGTGCCATTCTCAGTCTTGGGAATATACATTTGGATAATTCAAAATCATTACCTTCAATAAACTATAATGGAAGAAAAAACCTCATAAACATTTAATGGGATCAGTGTGAGAACTTGTAATAGAGTGTGTGCAAGAGAGCCTGAGTCTGAGTAGGAAATCAGGGCAGGCTTCTCAGAAAAGGTGACAGCTTGAGTTGGCACTTGGAGAACAAGTAAGAAAATATATTTTTTCTTTATTGATTTTAGAGAGAGAGGAAGGGAAAGGGAGAGAGAGATAGAAACATCAATGAGAGAGAACATCGATTGGCCGCCTCCTGCATGCCCCCCACTGGGGATTTGGCCCACAACCTGGGCATGGGCCCTGACTGGAAATTGAACTGGCAACCTCTTGATGCATGAGTCGACACCAGCCGGGCACAAATAACAATTTTTAAGGATTAAAAAAAGATGCAGAAGGCATTCTAGACATGTTCAATTTATTTATCTAAAACTGAATAACAAATTACCCCCAACTTAATGACTATAAAACAATAATCATTGCCTGTGGAAATGCAAAATGGTGCAGCCACTTTGGGAGACTGTTTGGCAGTTTTTAACAGAACTAAACATACTCTTATTGTAAAATCCAGCAACAACGTTCCTTGGTATTTACCCAAAGGAGCTGAAAACTATGTCCATACAAACCTGCGTGCATGGATGTTTATAGCATCTCTATTCATAATTGTCCAAACTTGATGTCCTTCAAGCAACCAAGATGTCCTTCAGTAGGCAAATGGATAAATAAACTGTGGCTCATCCAGACAAGGGAATATTAGTCAGCACTAAAAGTAAATGCGTTATCAAACCATGAAACAACATGGAGGAAACTTAAATGCATATTGCTAAGTGAAAGAAGCCAGTCTGAAAAGGCTACATACTGTATGGTTCCAACTATATGATGCTCTGGAAAAGGCAAAACTATGAAGACAGTGAATATATCACTGTGATGGAGAATGTTAATAATGGGAAAGGCTATGCCAGTGATTTTCAACCAGTGTGCCGCAAGAATTTTTAATATAATATCTGATTATTTAATCAGAGGCACTGACCTCTTTTCCATTAGATTGTTAAATAAAAAAACAACAACAACAAACTACACAATAATAGCTGTCTGGTGTGAATGAATCAAAATTATACCTATTTTTTTTTATGTGAGATCAGCAAAACATATAATAATTTTTTGGTGTGCCAGAAAATTTTAGTAATTAGTTTATGTGTGCCATGAGATGAAAAAGGTTAAACATTGCTGGGCTATGTGGAGGTGGGAAGTATATGAGAAATCTTCCCCTTCAGTTTGCTGTAAACTTACAACTACTCTAAAAATTAAGTCTATACTTAAAAAAAACAAAATGAACAAAAACCAACAACAGTTATTTCGTATTTCCCATGATTTCTCTGGGTCAGGACTCTGGCGATGGTGTGGCTGAGCAGTCTGGCTCAGTGTCTCTTGAGGATGTGGTCAGATGTCAACTGGGGCTGCCACCATCTGAAGGCTTGACTTTGGTTGAAGGATCTGCTTCCAAAGTAGCTCACTCACAGGGAGGTGAGTTGGTACTGGCTGTTGGTGGGAGGCCTCTGTTCTTCCCCACCAGGCTCTCTACCAGGTAGCTTGAGTGTCCTCATAGCATAGTGAGTGGCTTCCTCTAGCATCCAGAGAGTGATCCGAAGGAGCAAAGCCTTTCAATCTAGTCTTGGAAGTCACACACCTTTGCCTCTGCTGCATTCTGTTGGTCACACCGGCCAGCCATGATTCAGTGAGGACAGAAACTATACCAGGCTGTGGATACTTGGAGAGGAATATCATGAGGGGCCACCCTCCACGCTGGCTACCAAGCAGGGCAGGCTAAGGGTGGCTGATGTAGTGTGCTTGGGCTATAACTGGTCAGACATAAACTGAAAATTATTTATGGACTAAACTGTCAGGAGCTAAGGAGTTTGTCTTTTAACTGTTGGTGACAGGGAAATGTCGCAAGGTTTTTAAGAAGGCACCTAGAGGGTCGACTTGTCTCTTCTTATTCAAATTTGCCAGCAGAAGCTGTCCAATATGTTTAAGTAAGCCCCTCGATTATCTCTGCTTTTTCTTTGGAGTGTGTGAAAACTCGTGTAGATTTACACACATCCCATTCTGTCATTTTTGTGTTGGACTATTTTTGGAAACTGTTAGTTTGTATCATGTGTCAACTTTAACACTCTTCTAAAACTTAATATTTCTGCCCTGGCTGGTTTGGCTCAGCAGTTAGAGCGTCGGCCTGTGGTCCAGAAAGACCCGGGTTCAGTTCCCGCTAAGGGCACGTGCCTCGGTTGCAGTTTGTCCCCGGCTCCGGTTGGGCTGTGTGGGTGGCAACCACTCGATGTGTCTCTTTCATGTCTATGTTTCTCTCTCTCTCTCTCTCCCTCCCACTCTCTCTGAACAAAATATCAAAAAATGTCCTCGGGTGAGGATAAAAAAAAATAAAAATAAAACTTAATATTTCCTGTATCAGTTGGGATACTTTTGGTTGCAAATAAAATTTAACTCAAAATGACTTAACTAATAAAAATAATTTATTGACTCATGCAATGGGAAAGTCCAGAGACAGCAAGGCTTTCTGGTGTGGTTTGATCCAGAGTTTCACATTTCCATGAGGGATCTGACTCAGTTTTGGTGATGTGGAGGTTCATCCTCAGGTGTATTTTCTTTTCCACAGTAGCATAAACAATTGCAGTGTTTCCAGGTTTTTGCATTATACCGAAAAGAAATAAAACACCTTTGTCCTCAGTTCTACTTTGATTGGTCTGGCTTAGGTCACGTGCACGTACTTGAACAAATCCCTGAAGCCAGAGGTATGGAATATCTGGATTGGCTCCACCCTTGGAGCTGGGGGTGAAGTCAGTTTTTCCCAAATAACATAGTCCTCCAAGTGGAAATTGAGAATTTTTTGGAAGAGGGAAAGTGGATGCTGGAGAGGCAACCACCAGTGTCCAACACAAATTCAAAAATACGATGTCCTTTATCTAAACAACATTTATGGAGCCCTATCCAAATACAGTGTAGGGCTCTGGGCTAGAGCCAACACGACGGAGCCCCTGCCTTTATGAAGACCTGGGATGATATTATCCCCTGAGAACATAAACTCTCAGAGGGTAGGGGTTTTTCCTCTCCTGTTCACACCTGTATCTTCGGAGCCTAGACTAGCACCTGACACACTCAGCAAACAGGCACTCAGTAAATATTTGTTAAATGAATAGTCTGGGGAAAGAATAGGGGAGATGGCACAGAGTTCCTCAAGTGCCCAGTTGCCCATTGGTGGTCAGAGGGGTCCCTAGTTTCACGTTGGTGCAGGCTGGGTCCATCTCTTGTTCATGGGCCTCGGGATCTGAGGTGCAAAGTGCTCCTGGGGGGTTATATTGAGCTTTATAAACTCAGACCAGCTACATTTATGTTTGAGTCTTCACAGAGCAGTTCTGCGCCCAATCAGCTTACTGCTAACTGATGCTGCCTCAAAGATGGATCTGATGGGAGCCCTTTCCCCTGTTAATCCTTTAAAAAAATTTTATTTTATTTATTTATCTTTATTTTATTTACTTATTTTTTTAAATTCGTACCCAAGGATATTTTTACATTAATCTTCAGATAGAGCTGGAAGCAGGGAGGGAGGGAGGGAGGGAGGGAGGGAGAGAGAGAGAGAGAGAGAGAGAGAGAGAGAAACATCCATGTGAGAGAGATACATTGATTGGTTACTTCCCACACACCCCCAACTGGGCCAGGATGAACTGCAACCGAGGTCCGTGCCCTTGGCCAGAATTAACCTGAGACTCTTTGGTCCGC